GGGGCTCCACATCCCCCATATCCTGTCCCTGCAGGAAGGGTGCCGGCTGACCGTTCCAGGGAGGCAGGGGGAGACAGGAAGGAGCTGTTGTCACTCATTGTCCCCAGCTCAGCTGGAAGTGACAACAGGTCCTTCCTGCCCTATGCTTCTGGCCCAGCCGTAGGGCCAGCGGGACGGGGCCGTTCCTGTGGGGCCACGGCCTGGTGTAGGGAGGGTGGGGCTGACATGGGGGTGGCCCAGACCCCTGTGCAGTGCTGGCTGCTGGGGGTCCCTGGGGACATGGTTAGGGGCTGTTTCGTGGAGACCCTGCTCAGTTCAGCCCATTGCTGGGGCTGCTGCAGGCTGGCAGCCCCCACCCCAGTGATGCCCTCTGCCCCCCGATGCCCTGGATGCTGTGTCCATGCTGTCTTGCCCAGAGCTGGTACCCAAAAAAGGCAGAGAGGATGGAGAAGTCTTGCCCGGCCCTGCCAGGGCTGCTGCTCAGCCTCCCTAATCCCCTTCCCGCTCTGACTCATCGGCTTATTTCCTGGCTAATTCCCCAAGCTATAAATACTGCTCTGCCTCAGAGGGCCCCGATGCCCCGTGGCCACCTTGCGGGGCAGGGGCTGGGGGACAAGAGCCCATGTCCCTCCTGTGGGCAAAGGATGTCGCATGGGGGGGCAGCTGCTATGGGGCCGGTGAGGCCTTGGAGAGGGCTAGCTTTAGCCGAGCTCCCCCCTGGCTGCGTTGGGGACTGCCCTGCACTGGGCACGGCAGTCCAGTCCCTCAGACACTGTTGTGCAGGGTGCAAGGGGTCCCCAGGAGCCCATGGGGACCAGGAGGTGGGGGGCTTGGGGCCCAAGGGGGAGTCCCTTCTCTTGGCTGAGCATCCCCCCCTCCCCAGGCCGCAATGAGCCCCTGAAGAAGGAGCGTCCCAAGTGGAAGAGCGACTACCCCATGACGGACGGGCAGCTACGCAGCAAGCGAGATGAGTTTTGGGACACGGCGCCTGCCTTCGAGGGCCGCAAGGAGATCTGGGATGCCCTGAAGGCAGCTGCCTACGCCGTGGAGGCCAACGAGCCCAGGCCATCCTCGATGGAGCAAACATCACCCTGCCACACGGTGAGGGATGGCACCGGGGGTGCGGGTGGGGTGGTGATGGGTGCTCCACATCCGAGTGTATCAGGGTCCCAGGTTGGAGAGGAGAGAGGTTCCAGGCTGCCATCCACACAGTTCAACCCAGGCAAGGGAGGCAAGATGGGCTCTGCCCAATGCTGGGGGTGGCCCCATCCAAATTTGGGGGGGTCTGTGGGGATGCCCACCCGCAGCATCTCACCCTGCTGTCCCCAGGGTCCCTGACAGAGTGCTACGATGAGCTGGGCAACCGGTACCAGCTGCCTGTTTACTGCCTGGCACCTCCTGTCAACCTGATCCTGGCGCGGAGCGAGGAGAAGCCAGCGGAAAAAAAAACCCGACGAGAGGTTGCCCTCAAGGTGCGGCTCTCCCCCGGCAAGGCCCTGCGGCTCAGCGCCAGCATGGGTGACACCATCGGGCAGCTGAAGAAGCAGCTGCAGGCGCAGGAGGGCATTGACCTGGCCTGGCAGCGCTGGTTCTTCTCGGGCAAGCTGCTCACCGACCGCACGCGCCTGCAGGAGACCAAGATCCAGAAGGATTTTGTTGTGCAAGTGATTGTCAACCAGCCCCTGCCACCCAGGAACTGAGCCCCGCCACTGGCTGCCGGGGGAGGGCTGGGGGCCGGAGGGCAGAGGGGCACCTCCAGGGATGTCCTGTGCGGTGTCCAGGCCCTTCCAGAGCGGGGACAGCTGCTGCTCCCCCCCCAGGAAGGGCTGCATGGGGCTGTGCTGGCACAATGGCCCCTCTCGGCTGGGGACACGGCCACACACCGTGTTTGCTGCAGGAGGTTTGAGACCAAATGTCTCTGTGCAGGTTGGCATGGCCAGGGCACCGCTGCCAGGCTGTGCCACTGGGGAGAGGCGATGACCTGCTGGGCTCCAGCTTCCCCTGGCCAGGAGGCCCCAGGGTGCTGGGCAGGGTGGAGATGTCTCCCCTCTGTACATAGTCTATATTTATCAATAAAGCCTTTTCATCCTTCCTCTGTCCCTGGGCTGTCACCTGCAGCCACAGGAGGTCCTTGTGCCTGTCCTACATCTGCTCCCATGTTGGGATGGGCACAAGGTGACTGGGGAGAGCCTGGGTGCCCCGCTCTGC